AGGTAGGTTAGGCTGCTGAGTGATGCTCTAGAAAATGTTAATTGGAAGGTCTATCAAAATAGGAGTTTTAAAACTGTGAATAAAATTAAGCAGATAACTGTTAAATATAAGCTACATTCCCCCCAATGTCAGGTACCATAAACTAGTCTGCATTTTCTCAGCAGGTGAATGTATTGCTCACAGTTGGCTGTTAGAGTCTTTCTCCTCCTCAGTGTGAAGTTAGTAATAGGAAAATGAAACCAATGACGTGGAATACTGTTGGAGAGAAATCGAATGGGAATATAATACAGGTAGACACAGATATAGCTGCCAAGCCTACCAGACAAGAAATTTTCTGTTTTCTTGCAGCACTGGAACTGTGTATGTACTAGGCAAATACTCAACATCAGAGTCATGCCCAAACCTCAAATTCCAACTCTGTTTTGGGTTTAAACTTTCTGATTTTTAAAAAAATTATTTTATGTGCATGAGTGTTTTGTTTGCATGTTTGCCTGTGCACCATGTGTTTGCCTGGCAGTCACAGAGGCCAAAAAAGGGAATTGGAGCCCAAGGAACTGGAGTTATAGACAGTTGTGAGTGGACATGAAGATGCTGGGAACCAAACTCAGGTTTCATGAAAGAGTAGTAAGTACTGTTCACTGCTAAGCCAACTCTCCAGACCTGACTGTTTTAAATCTTTCCTTCTACACCTTCTACAAAACGCTTTTAAGTCAGACCCTCTTCTTTGGTACCTTGTACTACTAATTTGCTTTTCTACCCAAGTGGACATGTTTTCCTTATAATCTCCTAAATCTTATGTAACAGATTTTTGTCCACTAATTAAACTGTCTTCCTACCATATTATTGTATTTCAGAACTTTAATTCTCTTAACCTCTGCAGTAATTGTCTTCTCTATTTTGATGCCATACCAATGAGTTTTAAATCCAGCATGCCTTCAATCTCATTACTAATTAACATGTCAAGCAGAGTGGGATTAATGAGAACTTTGCAGCATGCCACTACAGCTGTCCTTCAAGGCTGGGAACTGCCCTCACATCCATACTTTGTATGCCACTGCACACCCAGCTGTGAACATATCCATTCAGCTGTTATTCTGTTTACATTCCTACCAAATTTATGATACGATATTTGATTTTGTCACATGCATTGCCAAAAATTCCAAAGTAAATTATACCATTGCTGCTCTCATGATTGCTTCAAAAGGAAAGCCAGTTACCAAACTGCACTTCCCACTCAACCCCAGGGACATTTTAGTTATCGCTTCAACATTTTAACTGCTAAGACTTCCGGCAATGCCAATCAGCTAATTCATCTCTCACAGGATGAGTTTTCAGATTGTGTTTTTTGTGTGTGTGTGTGTGTGTGTGTGTGTGTGTGTGAGAGAGAGAGAGAGAGAGAGAGAGAGAGAGAGAGAATTATAAAGAGACAGTTTTATGAATGAAAGTTGGTTGAGTAGAATACAATGAACAAACTGCGACAAGTTCATTCAATGGAATGTTATCCAACCGTAAAAAGAAATAATCTGTTGGTGAACAACACAGATTACTTTCAGACTGGCTGTGCTAGGTAAAAGTAGCCAGTCACCTTGTCTACCTCAGTTTCTTCTTTTCTCTGGTTATATTTGTTTGTTTGTGACAGGGTCTTACTACACAGGTTTTAAATCTGGTCTTAAGTTTGGCATTCACGTTTCCACCTCCCAAGTGCCGGGATTTCAAACATGTACTGCCACACACAGCCCCACAATTCTTTATGTATTTATCACTCAATGGAAACTTAAGTGGTTTCCACATTTTGACAGTTGGAAATAATGATGCAATGAACATGGGATACAAATAGCTCTTCAATATGCAGATTTTATATAATTTGGTTACAAACCCACATATAAGACCACTGGATACACTGTAGTATTATTATAAACTTTCTGAGGAGTTTCCATAATGTCCCCCATGTCACCATATTATTTTACAGTTTCATCGGCGATGTGCAATGACTTCCGTCCCCTACATGTTCACAGCACTTGTATCTCTTGTGTTTTGAGAACAACCACCCTAGCAAATGTAAGGTCATATCACACTGAAGTTTTAATTTGCCTATTTCTGATGATTAGTGATGATTTTTAAGATTTATTCTTTAATTTTTATTTATGTGTTTCTGTGTGTATATATGTGCATATATATGCCAATGCCCACAGAGACCAGAAAATGGTATCAGATTCCCTGCAACTGAACATGTGGGAACTGAACACAGGTCTTACTCTGGAACAGCAGCAAGTGCTCTCAACTGCTGAGCCATCTCCAGCCTCACCTCTTCTCACATGCTTGCTGCCCATTTTTCTGTTATCTTTGGGGAAAATGTATGCTGAGAATCATTGTTCATTTAAAAACGCCTTTTTATTTTCTGAGAATTTCATACATGAGTATCATCTTTACATTATTTCCATCACTTCTATTACCCCACTAACCTCTCCCATGTCCCCCTGACTCCATCTCAATTTCTTGTCCTCTTATTTGATTATAATTTTTACACATGCACATACAAGCATTTATAAATATTCATGTATATAATGCACTGAGTCCATTTAATGTTGTTCATGTATATCTGTGTTTAAGGCTGTCCATTTGGGATTAGATCATTTCTCATGGAGCTAGTCACTGGAGAAAACTGATTCTCCTTCCCTGAGCATCCATTGATTCTCTATAGCTCTTCATTTTTAGTGAGATTACCTGGATTTTACGATTGAGTTGTTTGAGTTACTACATGTTTTGGATATTATACAGTACCTCATTCAGGATTTGTGAATAGTTTCTCCCATCGTACAGGCTGATCTTTCATTGTGTTGACTGTGCCAAAGGTTTAGCTTGCTGTAGCATCCCTTATTTTACTTTGGTCTCCTGTGCGTTGGTGTGCAAAATGTCATCACATACAACCTTAATTTCTTTTCTTTCTAGACTGAAATTCAGCCCTACAACATCTCTTTTTCTTTTATTTCTCTGTATAGCTTACAGTGTATGTCACTATAAATAAGATAAACTCATAATATTCAGGAACAACTAGGTCTAACAGAATAGCATGATATTCTTTTCAATCATTATGTAATTGTGAATGGTTTATGATAAATTTTACATTGAAATTGCATCATTTTAATGTTCTGGATACATGAACTTTACTAGAAACGCTCAGGAAAGTGGCTATATATACCTTGCAGTCTAAGTCATTCTGTGCAGTGTGCCGCACATTTTTTATATACAAGTAATGATGAATTAAGTAACTAATGAATTTTAGTGATCTCCGTGTTGAAAACTGATTAAAGTGTTTTTCTTTGCTGAATACTCCACAATGGATCTTAGACTTCTCCATTCATCTAAGTGGTCTTTCAACTTTCCTCATCTCCTGCCAAGTTCTTGATTTTGAAAAGAGAACTCTTCATATGAATACTCTTAAACTGAAGCTCAAAGTTGGAAAAATGTAGATATTTGAATCATACTATTGTCATCTTGCAAGTTAAAATAATCCCCCCCAAGTGTCATTGTAACTTCAACAGTCTATAACTGTAAGAAGTTAGTGACTTAACTTATTGGATGTGGAATGTTGTATATATGTTATAATGTGTATAATGTGTCCAGGTGTAGTTTCTTTATTATTTTAAGACACAAGCTATGGAAAGATCACTGAGAGTATCACTTCAGGACAACTGGGACAAATGAACAATCTGGATGGTTTTATGAACAAGAAGGGTGAATCTGCAGTTACATATGTGCTCTAAGAGAGATGTCTTTCACAATAGAAAAGACTATGCTGAGGGTAAAGCGAAGCTTCATTTATATGCTTGTTCATTTTGTTTAGTTACCTTCTAAGATGGAGAGAGCAATTTGCATATGGCAGAATATTATTTCTCTGTCATTCAGGAGTCTCGACATGAATAGACTCCCTCCACCTTCTTCTGTTCCTCTCACCATGGTGATGATCCTCACTTCTATAATGTATTGCTTCCTTGAGAAGAAATGAAGGTTACTCATTTCTTTCTAAACACATGAGAATTACCTATATCACTATTTATGTCCTACTATTCATAGGATAGTCCCATGTCCTAACAGAGCTAGAAGAAATGTTTGGTCATGTACATTCCAGATAGATGACCATTTGCCCAGAAAAGCACTATTACAGTGAAAGAAGACAAAAATGAAGTTAGAGGAATGGACAGCTATCAGGCACATTCACAACTGGGACTCTTCAGCAGTCTCAGTAGTCATATTAGTTACACAAAGTGATGCAAAGTAGTTTACTGTGATGCTATCACAGACACGCATAGCATGCTCCAGTCATGCCCATCCCCATTACCAGCATTTCCCAAGTCCTCTTCCTCTCCTCCTACAGACACCTTTATACTTTCATGAATTATGACTTCTTCACTTGGGACTTATGCCTGTACAAGCATATTTGACACTCTGGAAAGATTATTTTTGCATACAGACATATGCATGTTCAGGACTGGAGAAATGGCTCAGTGGTTAAGAGCACTGGCTGTTCTTGCAGAGAATATGCGTTTGGTTTCAGGACCCACATGACAACTATCAACCATGTGAAACTCCAGTTCCAGGGGATCCAACACCTCTTCTGGCATCTGTGTTCATTGCACACACAAATTCACTTACATACATGAAGGCAAAACGCTGATACATAAAATATAAATAACTAAGAAACATGCATCTTCAACCTACTTTCTAATAAGATAGTAAACCAAGGCGTGTTTACATACCTAGGCTCGCTAATAATTAGTACACATGAAGACTGTCAGTGATGAATCTTTTCCTCAACAGATCTTAAGCTTCTTATGGTCAGGGGAAATAACTGAATTGTGTTATGTTTTTCATGATAATCAGAAACATTCCTGAACACAGCAAATGTCTATTCAGTGGAATGTTCTGAATTAAGGAGCAGCGGGGAGGGGGGGTCTGTTCAAATTGTTCATCTACTTTTTCCTACTTTTTCTTATTTCCAGTTTGATCACTCACGGCTTTGGGACACCAGCAATATGTGCAGCTCTGAGCACTTTCCAGACAGTCCTCAGTGAGATGCTGAACTACTTGGAAAAACATACTACCCACAAAAATGGTGGAGCAGCAGACTCTGGCCAAGGACATGCCAATTCTGAGAAAGCCCCGCTGCGGAAAACCTCAGAGGCTGCTGTGAAAGAGGGTAAAACAGAAAAGACAGACTAGCTACATCAAACAGAATCTACTTCCAGAGTCTTGCTGCTGATATTTTTTTCTAATATATATATCTCTGAGGGTGACTAATCTTCAATGGACCAAATCTTTACCCTCCCCCAGCCCTCCATAAAGTAAAAACAAAAGTGGAAATGAAAAAAAAAATGAAACAAAAAGGACAAATCCAAAAAAAAAAGAAAAAAAAGAAAAACAGCAGTATAACTGTGATGAAATTGTCACTTTTTAATTTTATGTTATGATAAGCTCCTTTTGTGCACGTAGTTTACTGTTCTGAATTATGTATGCCACAGTTTTGAAGCACTTCTGGACTTTGGAGAGGCAGCACATGATTTTTCACATGTAACTGATGCACTTTCTTATCCAGCTATGTAGTTAGGGATCAGAAAGCATGACCAAACTGGAGTCTGCCACCAATGCTGAAAACTCCATTTGTTCCCATCTTAACTCCCTGTCACTCAAGAGTGCCTCTTTCCATTAAACAGACCAATCTGGAAATTCATCCATTAATAAATTGTTTGGGGAATTGACATGGGCAGTGATGAACTTTTGTCCTGTGAACTGACAGCAGTTCTAAATTTTGGTCACCCCTAGCAAACTGAACTACCAGTGCCTTGGTGGTATTTACAAATTCCAGAAACTGTCTCCCTTTTGTCTACTATGTTCCTTTCCCTTATAGGTCCCCTCCCCATTGCTAAGAAGATATTCAGAAGTCTTATATAGCATAGTAGGGATAAGAGATGATCTCTTCTCATAGTCTCCTCACATCACCAACTTTACAGTTCAAGGAAACAGTGCATTTAGTGAGTGGGGTATATGGATACAGGAGAGGGTAGGCTCTGCCACGGGGGCTGCTCATGGAACGCATGATAATGTTTTGCTTGGAAAAGTATGAGAATAGGAGAAGCAGTCTTTCCGAGAAGTCCTGCTTGCAAACATAGGAGATGAGGACCCTCTGAAGTACTGGTGACAGTGATCGTATGGTTGAAGTGAGTCATTGTTTTCCTATTTCTGTGCTTCTTCTACCTGCTTGGCAGCTGTGATTTAAACCTTTAGAGGCACAAAAGCATTCAGGCTGTGTTCAATAAAGAAAACAAAACAGAATCATCAGAGAAGACTTTTGCTTTTAAGATGTTTCCTTTTTCATAACTTGTTCTTATAGCTTCCTTGTCCTTTAGTTAAGACTCTAAAAACAAGAGGCTGCTGGCTGTAAAGACCAGGAACTAATTGAAAGAAAGTTCAATCCACATAAAGGTCATATGTGTCAAGAAAGCTGAATGGTACCACATTGTACTAACTCTTCTACTGTTAACAATTATCAAACCTCTATATAAGCAAATGAAAACAGACCATCATGTAGCAAAAGAATCATTTTGACGTGCAGATGCTCAAGACTTAGTTTAGCATGAAAATATTGTCCTCCCATTAATATATCTTGATTATTTTAAAAATCTCTGCCATAATATAACTTCTTAGAAAATATTAGTATTCTAGCTAATTCAGAGGAAACAGCTGGAGTTTTCATGTAGACATCAAAGAAAATATTTTTACCTGACAGTTTTTAAAACCATTTGACTTTTATTTTGACACTTGTACAGAAAAGAACCATAATACTGAAAACCCAAATTTTCTAGGTTAAACTCATTTAACAAGGAGACCTGGCTAAGGAATTCCATAATAAAGGGATTTTATCCCTATTTTAAGTAGTAGAGCTTAAAATAAAGAAATGTAATAGAAAAAAATTGTGATTTCATGTGTTTAGTTCCATTTTCAAATTCTATCATTATTTGTGGCTTTAAGAAAAAGCATATAATAAAGCCACTATTCTCAGTAGTTTCAAATTTCATCACAAAATGGGTGAGACCATGCTACATCAAGTTCCTATATTGTACAATATACACACAAAACAGAAGTGATAAATATTTCAATTTAATAAATACTAGAAAAGTTATATACAGATAATGTGGGTGACTATTACCTTGACGAAAGTTCCACGCTAATTTTCTTTTACTCCATTTATTATTGACAGTATATTTGTATTTAATATGACATTTTGAGATGCATATCTACTAGGTACTTACTGTAGTTATATACCATGCCAAATATTCATTAATAATCAGATGAAAAACCAGCTCTGGCTTATATGATCAGCTTACTTCTTCACCCTTAGTTGTAACTAGTCTGGGTTCCAAACACCTCACTGGGGTGTATTATTTATTGGCCATGAAACACAGTATGACTATAACCACAATGCATATCATTTGCCAGGACTGTGGGCATTTTAGGAGCCTTAAGGGACAGCACCCATCATTTAACTTAACCAGCCATTAGAACATACTGAAATTGATGGACTGGTCCTGTTTAAAATCATTACTTATTATCATAGTCTAATAGATATTGTTAATACCAGCTTTTGCCTTGTATATAATGGGTACTCAACACTTTTTAAATAAATGAATAAATGAATCTGTGCTTGTTCTTTGTCCAAAATGGGCTAAAGGACCTTCTAATTTTCATGTTTTTCTTTTTTCAGTGCTCAGTGTTTCAATTGAGTTTACTTCCTAGATGGTAATTTGTGGTTAATAATTTTTATTGGAATAAGGGAACATTTTCACAGTAGCCCATTAGTTGCAAATATAGATATATTTAATATGGAACTATTTAGAAAATTAGTTATAATAAAAATTTCAATGAAAATGAAATTATAATATTATCATCATAGTTTATAGTGAGGGAAGGAAGCTAACAAAAAGTGCCTTCAGTGTTAGTGTAAATAATCAAGGAATTTTTTTAAAAAACCTTTTCAGATTATTGCTTGGACAAAAATCTTGTACAAACTTATTTAAAACAAATAAGAACAACTTAATATTTAAACTTAAAGAAGTAAGCTAAATTTCTATGCAAAGATGTATGCTTTAAAACTGCTTCAATAATCGGTTTAAATGCCACAATCATCGTTCTTTCATTAGAGTTACCATTTGACTTAGGCTTGGTGGCTCAAAAAAATAAATGAAAACTCAACTATTCTCTTTTCTTTGTTCTGGAATGATTAGACCAGTGGAAGATCCTGGTCTCTTTTCCCTCTGCCTTCTTCGCAGATCCCTTATCACCAGGGATAATCCTCACGGCCTGGCAGATTCTTAGCTTTCCCTTCACTGGGAGTATGACCTGAAGAAACCTTAAGCATCCTCATCTGGGTGTGACAGTGACGAGGATCTTTTACCACCTAGTGCTTTTAAAATGAATGTCAGTAACCGATCCTTATCAATAGTGAGTGAAATATAGCCTGTATGGGAGCACACACTTATAATCCCAGCACTTGAGAGGCAGAGGCGAGTGGATCTCTGTGCGACTGAAGTCAGCCTGGTCCACATAATGAGCTCCAGTCTACCCATGGCTGCAAGGAAAGCCAGTCTCTAAATAAACAAACAAACAAATAAATAAATAAATAAAATGAGTGAGGTAATAGAATCCATTTTCCCATATTTTCTTCCTTCTATGCTTCTTTGAATCATTTTAGACCAGCAGAATTTTGTAACCTGGATCAAAATTCTTTACGTAATGTGTTTTCTTACCAAAGACAAGTCAATGTATAAGGGGCAGCAGGGCCTCGTGACTGGCAGTACCACTCTGAAGACAAGCTACCTGAGATCAGATGACAGTCCTTTCATTTGGTGTTGTGTGACTTTGGGCAAGTTGTTGGGCCTCTCTGTAACTCTGACTCTTCCCTTCTGCAAAAAGAAGATACCGATCATTCCCTACTCACAGAATTATGGTCAGAACCATTTATATCAGAACAAGAGAAGATTAGTGCTATGTGAGTGTTAGCTACTGTCTAATACTAATACAATATTTCCTATTGTTTAATACTTAAAGTTCAGATAATTAATTTTTACCTAGAGATAAGTTTCTCTTGAATCTTCTGAGCCCCTTCTATACCAAATTCTACCCTAGAGACTGAAGATACAGAAGGGAATAGAACTTTGTCTCAGTTTTCCATGACTGATAACAGCCTTTGAAATGTGGGAAACACCAGTGCCATGGTGCAAACAGGCAAAAGATAGGGCAGCACAAAGCAGACAGAGGGTCTAGGAAACAGGAGCTAGTAGCATTGGGTGATGGGATGTAGAATCAGGGAAAGAGGTGGTAATCAGAAAAGGGAAAGTTGAACGTTAAGGACAAAAGAGACATCATGGTTCTCAGAGAACTGATTACACTAGGGAGAGGAATCTGTTGTGTGAATGCCAGCAGATTCTCCACCTTTTACATTTTAACTTTTATTTATTTATTTATTTTTACTATGTGCGTATGAGAATTTTGCCTGCAGGATATAAGTGCACCCCTGGGATCCCCTGGAACTGACCATTGTTAGCCTCCATGTAGGTACTAGAAACTGAACCTGGGTCCTCTGCAAGAGCAACCAGTGCTCTTAACTGCTGAGCCATCTCTAGCCTTCTGTTTCTAGATTTTCTTACCTTCCTACTCTATTTTGCAACAGCCAACAGTTTGCTCACACTGCCTCAGGAAAATGTGTGACCCAAACCCAAAGAATGCAAGTAGAAAGAGGCAAACTTTTATATACAGGTTTTAAGTTTGAAAACTGAAATGCCTCCCCACCTTTGGGGACTGGCATGTGGCTCATTGTTAGGACACTTGCCTAGCAACTCAGAGGCTCTGGGTTAAATCTCTGGCACCCCAAACAACAATACAATCTTAGGTTCTCAGGGTCTTATGGCTTACAAGCTTATCATAAGGATAGTTTTACTTTGTGCAGATATACACACAACAGACAAACACACATTATAGACCAGAAAATGGTCCAGTGGTTTGAGAAAGCAGAATCTTTTATTTTATTTACTATTTTTATTTTATGTGTAAGAATGTATTTCTTGCATGTATGTACACGTATGCATGTCCTGTAGTGCCCATAGAGGTCAGAAGATGATGTTGAATCTCCTGGAACTGGAGTTGCAGACAGTTGTCAGCCCCCATGCAGGTGTTAGGAACTGAACTCAGGTCCTCTACAGAAGTAGCCACTGCTCTTAACTGCCAAACCATCTCTCTCCAGTCCAGGAAAGGAGAATTTTAAACAGCTTAACTATCATTGTTATCTCTGATGTGTGGCCACATACTAGGAATGAATTTGGGTTTGGGAACTCATGACAGGCATGCTCTGTCTTCATTCTGAAAAGTCAAGGAACAAGCAATTCCAGCATAGAGTAGAGGCAAAAGAACTTCCTATTGTGCTGTGAATCAAGGTGGCTGGGTCTTAGGGATCTTCAGAGATCCCCTCCCAAAATATTCTCAACACGGTGCAGATGAAGTAGGGTAACATGGTGCAAGGAAGAACAAGGAACTTCAATTTCTGTGCGAAGCTCAGCAGGGAGCATCCCAGACAGTTGGGGGAAATGTAGAGTCCTCACAGATTAGACAACAAGAGCATATAGGCATGTGTCAATGGAGAGACTGTCAGACACTCCTCCTGAATTTCAAAAACATAGAACTTAGATAGAGCAAAGAGGGAAAATAGGGATTGTGGGACTGAAAGAGAAAAAACAGGATACAAACATTAGCAATTATTCATTAACAACTATCCCCAGCAAAGGATCAACAGAAGGAAGCCACAGAAGTTAGCGGAATATGGGTGTTTTTTAAAAAGTGCCATCCTGCCCATGAACCTCTGAGAGCCAGCTTAAATCTGAGGCTAACTATAGAGTAGAATATACTAATACTGAATGTGCAAAAACATCTGGAGTCTCAAGCCTTAAACTGTCTTTTCTGCTGGAGGGATGCTGGCAGGAATTGGTGCTATGCTGGAGCATCTTTCCCCTTTCTTGTTATTCCCAATTCTAACAAGTGTTTCCCATTGGTACAGTCTGACTAGAAGCCAGTTGCCAATGTGTTATGGCATATATAATAACCTGACTTCCAGACTTGACATCACACAACATAAGAGCATGGACATCTCTGAAAGCCAGTA